ACTCTTTCCTCTACAGGTCTGTCTTCCCTTAACACTGTGAGTTCCTTATGAACTGGAGTCAATATAGCACAGTGCCTAGTATGTAAATTACTGTCCATAAATATGAATTAAATAAGCTGTATTTTAAAATCTATCTTCATTTTGAGACCAATATTTTGAGATTGTTATTCAAAGATGATTTCAAGGAAGCAAATGAAGAATTTATTTCCATAGATAGGGATCCTCAAAGTGCTCAGAGAAAATGTATATGATGAAAAAATTATGTGTATAGTTTAAAAAGTGTTTTCACCCAAATAAACCTGTACTTTAATTCCATTTGTCTATAATTTTTCTTCTCATACCAATATATACCATATAGTCATGCCAATATAGGGTAGACTCACGTGTTGTTAACTGTACAAGAATTATTTCTATTTGTTGAGATCGAGGCTTGGGGTCTGATCCTTCATTTCAAGAATATTAATGTTTTTATTCAAAAAAGTGTATAACTATATTCGTTTTTATTGTTTGTTTGTTGTTTACTGATAACTGAACCCACAGCAGTAGTTTTCTATTCAGGCTGCTTTAACTCACCCCTCCACAGCTTGTTTCACTGCTAGATAACACATCTAACTGCAGTCCAACTGTAGACTATAGAGATGACTGCTACAACGGCAGGAAAATGACAGCTATCTCACTGGGGTGAACTGGATTACCAAAATGCACTAAAGGGCCACAATAAAACTCATTTCCTCACAGCATGACCTCATGTTTTTCCTCCATGTGCAGTTAACTGACTCTGCAACTGGTTAGTTTGGGGGCTTTGCATTTCTGCTTTGGCAAAACAAGCAAGGTTAATTTCTAGTAGTTAACATTTTTAAGTCTCACCTTTCAGAACTTTCAAGCTTCCTCCCACTTGCCAAGTTTGCCCCCTTTGTTTTTTACACTTTTAATGATTTTCATGCGTTGCCTCTGCTAATCCCCAGGGATGGACAGACTCCTGACCTCCTTGCTAGAGGTGCGAATGATGCCAGGGTTAGTGACTGCTCTGCAGTTCCCCAAAGCTCCTCCTCCCCAGACAGTGACAGTCCTTCCTTCCGATGCTGAGGTTGGGAAACAGGACAGGGAATACTCCTAGGGTGCAGCTTGGAGGGGACGAAACCGAATCCTGGGGACTGAAGAGGCCACGCAGGAGACTGGCGTGCCGTGCAATGCTCACCGTGGACTCTCTCCGCCATCCCTTTGCTGCCCAAGCTGCCCCCGACTCGCCTCTCGGCCTGGGCTGCCCGACGCGGGCCGCTGTCCACAGTGGGAGGTGCTGAAAGCAAGGAGCGGGCGCGGGGGCGGCGAGGCGGACAGCTCCTCCGAGCGCCCCCCTCCTCGCTCCGCGGCTCCTCCAGCCCTCCCCTCCTCCCGCAGCCATGTTCCACGCGCGGGGAGGGGTGGGGAGAGGGGAGAGGGACGGGGGATCAGGGCGGAGAGAGCCGGCTCTGCCTCGGGGAAGGAGGGGATGAGAGTTGGGGGGAGCGGAGCGGGCGCGGGGGCGGCGAGGCGGACAGCTCCTCCGAGCGCCCCCCTCCTCGCTCCGCGGCTCCTCCAGCCCTCCCCTCCTCCCGCAGCCATGTTCCACGCGCGGGGAGGGGTGGGGAGAGGGGAGAGGGACGGGGGATCAGGGCGGAGAGAGCCGGCTCTGCCTCGGGGAAGGAGGGGATGAGAGTTGGGGGGAGCAGCGGGAGGAGGAGGAGGCGGCGGCGGCGGCCAGCGAGGAGCCAGCTCTGGGTCCTGCAGTTGGACTCCCGGGAGCCACCATCATGGTGAAGAGGAACAGCTGCTGAGGCCGCGCCACTGCCTGCAGCTCCCTCTCTGGGGCTGTAAGCAAGCCCTCTGCACCCGCTTAAAAACACGCATTTAGAAAATATTTCAGTGAAGTTTGTCGACAAGCAGATTGGCAGTTGTTGAATAAATATATACATTATTTAGGGGGTGGGAGGGCAGAGAGCCTGGGAAGAGGGGGCGGGGAGCTAGGAAAGATAATTAGGACTGGTGTGCTCCTGTGTCCCAATCCCCCTCCATCTCCTGCTGTGAATCCAGCCTGGTGACCTGTTGTTTTTCCAGCTCTGTGTTTGACGAATATCTGCTATGCCCACTTGTTAACCGTTTTTGCTCGGATTCAGCCAACATAATCTCCCTGGTTAAAGCCCCTGAGGAGAATGACTTTTGATGAGAGATTTTTTTTTCCTCCTCTTGTGGAAAGACAAAAAAATCTATTCCAATAAACACAAGGGGAAAGAGATTTATTATTATTATTATTATAGAGATTTATTAGATAAAAAAATTGTTTCTGGAAGCCATGACCTACCTAAAGCCGTATTCCTTTTTCGGTTTTTAATATGGCTATGCACATGAGTAATGCGTCACTTCTGACCACTGGCAGTGTAGACTCTAATTAGGTAAAAGTCTTCAGAATAAGAGTGGGTAGGAAAACCATAGAGAGCTGCATCCCTTTTATATATGTAATTACACGTGTAAAAGCAAATGTCGTCAGCTGGTCAACACCTGCTCTTAACAAGCTTCCTAAGGAAGGATGAAATTTGAGCTTCAAAGCACCATGTCTTATTCATTGAAAAATATATCATCGGGATACTTCAACAATAATTTTACTTATGTTTATAACAAATATCTCTATTAATTTTTCAGTGCATTTTTGAGGCCTAAACTGGGGAAGCAATATGAAGCCTCTTGTGTGGTATGTGATGTTTCATCATTTACTGATTAGTGCCCTCTTTTGTGGAATCATTTGAACCTAAAGAAAGGTATTAAATCACACTGACTATACTTATCAATGCACTTGGAAATATTATTGAGCACCTACTGTGTGTCAGGTATAATTCTACATGCTGGGATAGAGCAATAACAAAAACAAGTATAGCATTTACATTCTGGTGGGAGGAGGCAGGCCACAAGCAAGCAAAATACATAGCAAGCCAGATGGTGCTAAGAGCTGTGGAGAAAAATTAAGCAGGAAATATTAGAAAGCACTAGGGTAGAGGGATTATTTTGTAAGTGGTGAGTGGGTAAGGCTTACCTACTAATATGACTCTGACAAAGATGTGAGGTAAGGGAGGGAGGGACCGGTAAAGGAAGAGCAGAGGGAATGGCAAGTTTAGGACCTTGGCATGGAGTGAAAGGGTGGGGAGGGATTGAGTAGCAAAAGAGAAGAGAGATAACAGAGAAGCAAATGGTAGGGGGCCTTTTGGGGTAAGTGAGATAACTTTGATCAATAAAATTGAGACTATTAAGTTAAGTCATTGGGAAAGTCATGTTGTGCTTTTCCATGTTTTTCTATGCAAAAATACATCATGACTTTCCTGACAACCCAGTATATTGGGTTCATATCACAAATGCCTATGAACTAATCAAACAAAATTATGTGCAATTCTCTATTTTTGTGTCTTGCATATGTTCTACAAGTCTGAAAATTAATAGTATAAATAATTATGAAAAGAATCCTATTAGTATTTTTGCAAACTAAAGTGCACTTTTGGCTGAGACTCAGATGAACCCCATATCCATACAATTTTCCATTCAGTAAATTGAGAAAAGAAGAATGAAATAGCAAAACAAGACTAAAATAAACATTTCACAAACTTCATTAAAGTTTGAAGTTGACAGCAAGGTCTTTACATGGAATATATTGTAAGTTAAAGTAGGAACGTGTCAGTTCGAATACTGCTCATGCGTATTTACAAATAACTACATGGATGACCTTCTGATACAGAGTTCTGAAGTGTTAAGGCCACCAAGTATGATAGAAACCAACTAAAGAGTTAAACACACACAAACACACACACACACACAATTTAGTAGGAACTTGTTTCATTGAATCTTCTGTTCATCAAAGTTGTCACAAAGGTATTTTTAAAATGTAACTTTCTGATAAAAACTTTTTAATTGAATTTGTTGTTGTACTTAGCTAGTTGGGGTAATCTGACACTTGAAATCTGAGCATCCATTCCTTAAATCATTTTAATGGGACTAGCAGATGACATAATCGTTACATCGCTGGACTCCCACATGGCCAACTGCAGTTCAAGTAGCAGACCTAGTAGCTTGAAATTCATGCCAGGCACCCTTGTATGTGTGTCCAAAATCCCAAGAGTAGAATGGAGGAGAAGGGATTGTGGCGTAGCCATTCCCCCTGGGGGAGGGGGCGGTGATTTCTCACTTTTGGTCTCTCTGTCTCTCTCTGGAGACATGCACCCTAGGGTAAAAATCTCTCACTAAAAAGAAGAAGGAAGAAAAAGAAGAAGGAGGAGGAGGAGAAGAAGAAGGAGAAGAAGAAGGAGGAGGAGGAAAGAAAACCATCCTGACAATTATACTAGCTTAAAATATTTCTGACTTTTCTCTATTCTTGGAAAAAAATATGTCTGACATTTTAAACACAGTCCCATAATATCAAATAGCTAAGTTATATTTATGAATAGAGATTGGAAAATAAGGATAGAGATAATGGATATCAATATAGAAAATAATTTCTAAAGTTTAAAAAATTGTAAAAAGTTGGACCAGCCCATAGCTGGTGATTAAGGGAGCTGGGTTCTGCATGGTTAACAGCCCCATTTGAGCCTCAGACATTCCAGACACATGTGAATATATCTGCAGGCCCAAAATCCCAAAAGAGAGGAAGAAATAAAGGAGGAGGACTCACAGAATGACCATTCCCCATGAGGAGTGCTTTCTCCCTCTCCTCTCTGTCTCTCTCTAGTGGGCAAACCTACTCTCTGACAAATTAAGAAAACTTTAAAAAAATATAAAAAGTTATGTTACTAACATTTTATAAGAAAATGACATTAGCTACCCATCACTCTGAGATTATCAAATATGTAACTCATCCTTGTATATTCATTAGTCTATATAATTTGGGGGGGGAGGGGAGAGGTTTTTGTTATAGGATGCGTGTACTCACCAGAAAGACAGAGAGAGAGACGCGGAAAGTGAGAAATCACCCCTACGGTGGGATGGCCATGCCGCAACCTCTTCGCCTCCATTCTCCTCTTGAATCCTGGGCACACACGCACATGTGCCTGGCATGAGTTTAAGCCACCTATTCTGAGATTTGAACCGTAGTTGACTACATGGGAGTCCAACGACATAGCCATTACGCCAACTGCTGGTCCTAGAAAATTATCTTAGCTACCCATCACTCACTGAGATGATCAAATATGTAACTCATCCTTGTATGTTCATTAGTCTATATAATTTTTATAATCTTTTAGTATCAAATAAGCTCACCCTATACTTAATGAACACTTACATAGATAGATACCTGACGACAAAAGAATTTCAAAATATTTGCATCTGCATCACCAGCAAAGCTAAGAAGACTTTGTATTGAGCGTCTTTGAAAAGTCAAAACAATAAACCCCAAAGATTACATCTCTGATGGTACTACTTACCAAAACTCCAGTGTATCCTTCATTATGAAGGTGAATTTATTTTCCTTTTTTGACTCAAAATGAAAATTGTTTTCTTTGGAGAATCTCTGTAGTAAACCATGTCTTTTTCTTGAGTATACTAATTTCAATAAAGTTTGAAAACTTGGTACTTGTATTATGATGATTCTATAGGACACACAATTTTCTTGACATCAAGTACCAATCATGGTTTTACAAATCAAATGTTTATCTTATTCTAATATTTGATAGCAATGCTTTCCCCAACAACTTTTAGTGAAATTTTCCTTCCCTCTAAAAAAAAAAATAAAAGAGAAGAAAGAGAAAGGAAGAAAGAAAGAAAGAAAAAGAGAGAAAGAAAAAAGAAAGGAAGGAAGGAAGAAAGAAAGAAAGAAGAAAGAAAAGAAAAGGAAAGGAAAGGAAAGGAAAGGAAAGGAAAGGAAAGGAAAGAAAAGAAGAAAAGAAAAGAAAAGAAAAGAAAAGAAAAGAAAAGAAAAGAAAAGAAAAGAAAAGAAAAGAAAAGAAAAGAAAAGAAAAGAAAAGAAAAGAAAAGAAAAGAAAAGAAAAGAGAAAAAAGAAAAAACTGTCTAGGTCGAACTTGTTACTTTCTCAGGGATGATTCACTTTCTGGGAAAAAAAAAAAAAAAACCCTATCTAGGATAGATTGTTTAATAACTAACAGAGGTGACTCATTTTTCTCCTCCATCCCTCTTTCTCTCCTTCCCTCTCTTTATTCAGTTGATATATTTAGTATCTTTTATGGTTCCAGGAATTAGGTAAGGAGTGTTCTGTGCCAAATAATTGCTAGGTGCATGAAATAAATCAGGCACCTCAATACCAGATTTCTTGAAAGTATTGTGTCTTGGTTAACACCTAACGAACAAATTGTTATGAATTCTGTCCCTGAAGACACTTGCAAAAGGCATTACATTTTGATTTGCCGTTGTGACAGCTCCTTTCTATGACTCAACATTTTTATAAAATATTACATTCAAAAATCTCATGAATTTAAATGCATTGTTATACTCTTTGTTAGAGGAGCTTATTTTGACAGAAATAAAAATAATGTAGTTCTTCAAGCCATATACTTGGGTTCAATGGCCTGAAAATGGGTAGATTATAGAAAACAATCACTGACCTACTGCAAGTCAACATGTACATAAATGCAATGTGAGTCCATCCTCAAGAATTTGGTCCACAATTTGTGTCTTTTAGGATTCTCAGTATCTTGATGCCCATTTTCCATCCTATTTCTTATTTTATATGCTCTTTTAAAAAATCTGCAGTCCTTTGAACGTGTGCTGGTAGAAAACAAGCTGCATGGTCTCTCTCCGGCCCTCTCTGAAGCCATCCAGAGCATTTCCAGATGGGAGCTGGTGCAAGCCGCCTTGCCTCACGTCCTCCACTGCACAGCCACCCTGCTTTCAAACAGGAACAAGCTAGGTTTGTGCAGTTGCATTACTTGTTTATTGTGTATGACGATTCTTCATACTCAACATTTGTTCTGGTCTGTTCTGTTGCTAATAACAGAAATACCTAAGTCTAAGAAATTTAAGAGTAAAGAGGCTTATTCAGCTCATGCTTTGGAGATCTAGAGTGGAGCAGAGCACATCTGTCTTTATTACACTCTTCTTAGAAACCCACCCAGGGAGGACTCAATCATGGCTCCTCCACCCTGATGCCTAATCCTTTCCCAAAGGCCGTACCTTTTAACACAATAATCATATTAGAATTCTTCTCAATACCTGTGCGATACAACCAAATTCCAACACAGGAATTTTGTAGAGACATTGAAACTTAGCACCACCCTAATAACACAATACATTGAGTAGTTCTGGTAGTCCCAGGTACTTTGCATGCATTACCTCATTTATTCTTAGAATCGTTCTCACATTGGTACCACCATTATTTCCATTTTACTAGGGAGAGAACTTTCTCTTTAGTTTTTACTTTTTTTTTTTTCAAAGAGAGATTTTTGCTATAGCGTGTGTATGCTCGCTGAAGAGACAGAAAGCCAAAAATCATGCCACAAGGGGGATGGTCATGCTCCAATCCCTTCTCTTCAATTCTCCTCTCAGGATCTTGGGCACTCATGCACAAGCACCTGGCATGTTTTTAAGCCACCGGGTCTAGGACTCGAACCACAGTCGACTATGTGAGAGTCCAGCGATTTAACCATTACACCATCTGCTGGTCCTATGGTTTTTAATTTCTAATTTCACAAATGATATTCTCCTCTTAAAAATTAAAATATTATAGGTAAGCTAAAACTCAGACACCCAAAATGAGTCTCAACCAAGTTTGTCCTCTTTGCTCTCCCAAATCCTGAAACAACCACTTTTATGAATTTTGCATATTCACCTCAGAAATGTTCACAACTTTGTAGTACTCTGTGTATGTGTGTGTGTGTGTGTGTGTGTGTGCATGTACACACATGTGCATGTGCATATAGATTTTCAAAAATTATCTTGCAGATTGTTTTCCTCATCTGGCAATACGCCCCAGCTGTCTACCCCATATGCTTTTTCACATAATTTGCTCCCCTCATTTGAGTCTCTGCTCACATGTTAGCTCCACAGAGGGATCTTTCCAAGTCACCTTGTCAAAAATAGAATGGTCGTTATCTTCAGAGCCTATACTTTACCACTATGGTGCCTATTTAGAAATCTATTTGAGTAACTGACTAAGAGACGTGATTCATACCGTTTCTACCCTGTGACAGCATGTTATTCTGCTGAGATTACAGCCAGTACAAAAGTCCAAAAAAAGAAGGATGAACCCTGCCAGCATTGGTTGTAAGAAGTACAGAGAAATGCTAGTGTCTCCTGGAAAACTGAGGGATTTTTCCCCACCCCCAAGGTTGATATCCATTGCTATTGTTGCAGCATTGCCTTAACTTGGCTGTGCCTTTATCCCGTGCAGGCCATCAGGATAAATTGGGTGTTGCTGAGACAAAGCTCCTGCACACCCTTCACTGGATGCTCCTGGAGGCCCCCCAGGATTGTACCAGTGAACGATTTGGGGGCACAGACCGTGGCTCCAGCTGGGGTGGCAGCAGCAGTGCCTTCATCCACCAAGTTGAAAACCAGGGTTCTCCAGGGCAGCCTGGCCAAAGCAGTTCCAATGATGAAGAGGAGAACAACCGAAGGAAGATCTTCCAGAACTCCATGGCTACTGTGGAGCTCTTTGTGTTTCTGTTTGCTCCTCTGGTACACAGGATCAAGGTATGCAGAAAGCTATAGTTAGGGCTGGGTGCGATGCAAATGAGGTGAAAGTGGGCTTCAAATGGCATTGCGATTTGGTCGTTCATGCCTTTGTATGATCTTACACAAGCCCAGGCATGAAGAGCTTTATTACTATATTAAGCTACTCAACATTACTTCAAAAATACAAATCTCATGGCTGGTCTCATAGTATGGTGGTTAAAAGCTATGCAAGGAAAACTACATGGCTGACCAGGGTTCAAGTCTAGGCCTTCCTCGGCATGCATGCACATGCACAAAATCCTGATAGGATAGAGAACTGAAAAAGGATAGCACCCTTACCAGGCCCCATTGGGAATCCTTTTCACTCTCTTCCTGCTCTCATTCTTGCTTGCATGCACACACATCCTCTGGCATAAACAAAACAAAACAAACAAAACCTCACAAACCTCTTCATATCTTTAATCTACTTAAAAATCTGCAATAGTTCTCCATCTTCTTCAAGATAATGTCCACAGGTCTGAATAGTGGCACAGTGATAAACATGATTCCCTTCAAAATAGCCCCATATAGGAAGGTTCAAGGTTTGTGTACAGGGACCTCCCTGAGTACACAGGGCAAATGTATGCTGATGGTCCAGTGGCTGGTCTCATAGTATGGTGGTTAAAAGCTATGCAAGGAAAACTACATGGCTGACCAGGGTTCAAGTCTAGGCCTTCCTCGGCATGCATGCACATGCACAAAATCCTGATAGGATAGAGAACTGAAAAAGGATAGCACCCTTACCAGGCCCCATTGGGAATCCTTTTCACTCTCTTCCTGCTCTCATTCTTGCTTGCATGCACACACATCCTCTGGCATAAACAAAACAAAACAAACAAAACCTCACAAACCTCTTCATATCTTTAATCTACTTAAAAATCTGCAATAGTTCTCCATCTTCTTCAAGATAATGTCCACAGGTCTGAATAGTGGCACAGTGATAAACATGATTCCCTTCAAAATAGCCCCATATAGGAAGGTTCAAGGTTTGTGTACAGGGACCTCCCTGAGTACACAGGGCAAATGTATGCTGATGGTCCAGGCTGCCTGAGACTGGGAGTAGAGTGTGGTTATGAGATCCTATTGGGGATATTATCTCTCGTTCTCATTTCTGGCCTTTTCCATGTAGACTTAGTCACTATCTCTTCTGTATTTCTATGGCATTTTATAACTACCTCTCTTATAGGATCTAGAGCAGAAACTTTAATTTTTTTTTTATTTTTATGTGCTATGGACTTTTTGACAGTTGGGTATAGCCCAAGAATTGCTTTTTAAAATACTTTTGAGTACATCAGATACAAAACATAGGATTATGTAGAAACCAATTGTCTTAGAATACAATTATATCCGTTTGCCCCATAGACCTGGAGGAGACAATAAAATTTGAAATCTCTATGCCATCACTTTATACTACTTGATCTTGGTATATTATTTAACCTCTCTGATCCTCAGCTACATAAAATCTTGAATCTCTATAATACAAGGTGAATATATATGAAGATACATGGTATGGTACTAATACATACAAAGAACTCAATAACTGTTTGTTACTTCTGTGAATAAATAAATGACCATAGTCCAGCTAAGTATTGAAATTAGAGATAACAAGAAATTAATATGGTCCACTGCTCTTTAGTAGAATATTATATCCCTAATGAATATTCATTTAAGTTAGCAATGTAGATATAAAGGTTGTGACTGTTAGCAATCATTATGAGGGGATAGTCTTTCCACTCATTTTGGCTTTCTAAAATATTCACTTTCTATACTGTCTCATATACTGGTAGGAATAGATTTAAAACTACCTGTAAATTCCCAAAATATAACACATATATTGGCCACATTGCCCATCAAACATACTAAAATTTTACATGTCATTAAATCATATTAAATTGTTGTTTTAAAGCTTTAACTTTACAAGGACCAGCAGATGGCATGTAATGGTTACGTCACTGGACTCCCAATGGCTGAACATGGTTCAAGTCCAGACCGCTAAAACTCATGCTGGGGGTGTGTGTGTGTGTGTGAGTGAATGCCAAAAATCCCAAGAGGAGAATGGGGGAGAAGGGACTGTGGTGTAATAATCTCCCCCCGCCCTCCGCCTCCCAGGGATTAATTTCTCACTTTTTTTCTTTCTTTTTTTTCTTTTTTTGGAGAGGTTTTCGCTATAGGGCACATGCACTTGCCAGAAAGACAGAGAGACAGAGGGACAGAAAGTAAGAAATCACCCCCCAGGGGTAATGACCACGCCACAATCGCTTCTCGATTCTCTTCTCGGGATGTTGGGCACCACATGCACATGCGCCCGGCATGAGTTTAAGCCACTGGGTCTGGGACTCGAACTGTGGCCGACTACATGGGAGCCCAGAGACATAGGCATTACACTCCCCCTACATGGGAGTCCAGAGACATAGCCATTACACTACCTGCCGGTCCCCCAATTTCTCACATTCTATCTCTCTGTCTCTCTGGCAAGGACATGTGCCTTATAGCAAATATCTCTCTCTTAAAAAAAAATAAGTCTTTTTTAAAGATTATACTTCATGGAAAGCATTGTTTTAGCTGAGATTGTCCATCTGGCCTGTGGAACCTGCAGGATTTGGTCCTGGTCACCTGCGGGGCCTCATTGCCCTCCCTATCACTGGTCTTCATCTTGTTCACAAACCTTCAGGCTTATTGGAGGCTCATCCTCAAACTCAATAAGCTCATTCTTGTTTTCAAATCTTTGCACTGGCTTTTTCCTTGTACTTGAAACATTTACTCCCAGCCTCTATCCTCCAGATTTTCACATGGCCCTATGTTTCTCACCAATTTTTGCATAATTCAAATGTCAGCACCTCAGAAAATTCTTTCCTACCTACTTTAGTTCCACTAGCACATTATCTTACGTGTTCCTGTTTGACACTTACCAGTACCTGGAATCACGTTGTGTGTTTGTCTACATGCTTATTGTCCATCACACCCACTAGAACAGAAGTCCTTGGATGAAGGGATTCTTCCTGTTCAGGTCACAGCTCTTCCTCTAGTGTCTGCAATAATGTCTGGCATGTATGACGCTGTTGATAAATGTTTAATGACTGACTCACAGAGTAAACCCTTTATTACCAGAATCTGATCCAAGCGCTAAAAGTAGCAGTTCTAGACAGGTACAGAATCCTTAAAATGGAGGAGACAAGAATAATGGCTCCTTAAAAATAGCCCAAAATATGCCTATATGTTGAAAAATATCATCTGGAACAGGAAAGTGTGGAAATATAGAAGTACCCAGAGAGGCTGTGATTTTATTTGCAAGACATAACTAAGAGTTCAGGTTTTTTTACTTTTTTTTTTTTTTTTTGGAGATATTTTCACTATAGGGCACGTGCGCTCGCCAGACAGACAGAGACATTAGAAACAGAAAGCGAGAAATCACCCCCCAGGGGGGATGGTCACGCCGCAGTCCCTTCTCCTCCATTCTCCTCTCGGGATCTTGGGCACGCACACGCGCCTGGCGTGAGTTTTAAGCCACCAGGTCCGGGACACGAACTGCGGTCGACTACGTGGGAGTCCAGCAACATAGCCATTACGCTAACTG